GTTTCAGTCTAGAGGTGTGTTCAGGAAAAGTGTCCAGATGGCTGACATCGTGACAGACCTCCCCTGTGGGTCTATTTATTGTAGAGGCAGAGCCTGACTCTTGAGCAACACACAGAGGAGAACATACCAGACAATGTAAAAGGGCTTCAGCAAAGACCTAGAGAAGGTATTCCAATTTCCTGCTCCAAAACCTCCCCTTCAGGTTAGGAGACAGAATTGAGATGGTGGCAGGAAATATTTCTTTGGCCTTTGCCCTTCTGATGAGAGGACTGTAGGCTCTCTCTATTGAGGGGAAATCTGAGTGGGAATAAATGACCAGTGGCTAGTCAGGTAAAACTGAGACCAGATCCCAGGGCATCAATAGTCTGAAACGGGCACATTTCTCTGTTGACATGAAAAGACATTTTTAGTTGACTCTGCAGAGTTAAGCCAGACCTGAATGAACATACTTCCCAAGACAAGTGCTATTTTCTGCATGCAAGTCAGATTTATTCAAAGGATTGTTATAAGGTACAGAATTATAGGGTACATAAGTCTGATAGATATAAAGGATTGTTATGAGGTATAGAATTATAGGATGATGAAAGTTGGAAGGGACCACAGAGTTCACTTGTCAGCTTTTTCCTTCCTAAGATGAGGCAATAGAGCCCAGAGGGCTGAAGTGACTTGCTCTGGACCATTTGCCAAGCTAGTTACTAACTGCCAGGAGTAGACCAAGGTCTTTTCATTCCCAAGTCACAGTTTCCTGTACCCAGTTGTTCTGTATTTACACCTAAGGAAAAGTAGGCTCACATTAAATGAAAGTTGGAAATTCCATTAAATTTAAGAACTTTTAAGCTAATCTAATGAGACATGTCCACGAGGTGAATATATGGAAGAATTGTGGGATCTAAAGGCTTATGTGCTGGGGGGAAGTTCTGAAGTTAAGCGACTTGAGTTCAAATCCTGACTGTACCAGTTTGTAGTTGTCTGACTTAAGCTAATTGCTTAGCCTTGCTGAGCCTCGTTGTCTTAATTTATATAGTAGACACAATAATAGCACTTACCTAGAGGGTGATTATGAGGCTCAGGAGAGAAGGGTGTGCGAGATGCTGTGTTTCACATAAGTGAATTCTCAGCACTTGTAAGCACCGGTAACTATTATCTGTCATCATTTTACCTCTGAGAGACATTTAAATCTTGACTGTGAAGACAACTCTTAGCTTAGGAATTTTTTTTGTTCTAAGGTTTATCCCAAATCACTAGTTTGTCCTAAACCTCCCTTCCTTAGGTCTCCCAGAGTGGGAGCTATCTGATCACCTTTTATTCTGTCACCCCTTCAGGCAGTGTTCTATTACTATCTTATTTCTTTCAAATGTTTCTCAGTGAACTCCTTCTCCATTCGTATCCTCATTTAGGTCCTAGTTTTCATAGGCCTGGATTACTATTCAAACCTCCTAGCTTCTCTGTCTGACTGTAGTTTGCCTTTCCTCTAAACTATCCATGTTGCCTTCAGACTGATTTTCCTGAGGTGCTGAGTTTATCCTGTGTCTTCATGCCTTGGAATCTTTCATGACCTCACTGGCCACAGCCTCAAAGCCAGGTTCTCCTGCCTGGTCTTCGGGTCCCTCAAGAACATCAGTGTCTAATAGAAATATATTATCAGTCTCAGCCATACACATACCTTAAAATGTTCTAGTTACCACATTGAAAAGTAACAGGTGAAACTATTTTTACTAATATATTTTTAGCTGAAAACATCCAAAATATCATTTCAACATGTGGTCAGTACAAAAGTGAATGAGATGTTTCACATTCTTTTTTTGAGGTAGTCTACATCCTCAGGATCTTATGGGTGGAGCTGGGAGGTAGCACAGTTGTAGAGTACTTTTGTACATTTACGAGGTCCTGGGTTCCATCCTGAGCAATGTGAAAGCAAGAAAGCAAGCAAGCAAGCAAGAAAGAAAGAAGATAACTAACTCCCATGTATATTCCACTTATATCACATCTTGATTCAGACTAGCCACGTTTGAAGTGCTCAGTAGCCACATGTGGTTAAGAGTTACTATTTCATATAGCATAGTCCTAGAGTGTGACTTACCCTCACACACAGCATATACCTCTCACTTCTTCCTTGTTTGTTAAAATGAAAAAGGAGCTGGGTCTGGTGACCCATCCCTATCATCCCAGCACCCTGGGAGGCTGAGGCAAAAAGAATCCAAATTTCCACAAAGTTTGGGCAACTTAGTGACTTAGCAAGAGCATTTCTCAAAATTAAAAGAAAAATTAAAAATGGCTGAGGTGTAGCTCAAAGGCCCTGGGCCAATCCTCTATGCTGCAAGAAGGGAGGGAGTGAGGGAAGAAGGTCGGTCAAAATAGGGTTGGTATTGTTGTGTCTATTTTGTAGGGTTATCTTATGCCATTGTGAAGTGTCAGATTGCTTTGTACGCTCTAATTCTCCAAGGAGGTGTGGACATTGTTATCAGAAATAAAGGTTTTACTGACATGAGTAGGATATCTTTGAAGTAAAATATTTTGAAAGAGGACTTACTGAGATAGCCAATCAGAGGTTGGAGATGTAGCTCAGTGGTAGTGAATAGTTAGCACGTGCGAGGCCCTGGATTTGAATCCATAGTACTTTGAAGAAAAGAGCAAATTGGCTGTCTTTGAACTCATTTCTGATAAAAATTAATTTCAAGCAATGAATGGAGACTATGTGTCCTTTTTCCTGCTATCTCTTTATAGTGGTCTTTGTGGAAGAAATTTTTTTCACATTAATAAAGTTCTCTAAATATGTTATTGCATCTGTGAGGTTTTTTTTTCCTGTAGCATTTGGAAAATGGAGAGGTGTGTTTAATTTTTATCTTGAAATAGGAGCTGGAATGCTACTACAAAATGCATGCTTCTTTGGTAGTAAATGTAGCTTACGTATTTTATAGTACTGAGGTAGGAACAGCAGTGCATATTTCTCACATTGTCCAATTTGTTGCCAAGGATTGAAACTGACCAAAAAACAATGTCAGAGATTCAGCTGTTGAAACTATTTGTAAAATGGTTTTCATTGTGTATTGTAAAGGAAAAATACAAATACTATAGCAATTATTCTCACAGATTGATGAAAAAGGCTATTAACAATCAGGACATTACTTGAAATATTGATGAGTTATATATAAAGTGGCATCCAAAATCTTTTGCTCACACTTCACCAAGGGCCTTTCGGGAGTTCAATACTTAATACAATATAAATAAATGTAAGTTTGCTGTGTGGAAATTAAATCATTAAATGAAGTAACTTCCAAAAAGCCAACTTTATAAAGTGGCCTCTGGGCTAAGATCCGACCATTTATAAGTTTGCCCAGGCCAGATACCCCAACTAGTACATGACCCTTTCTCCCTCTCCAGTCCCTTTAATTAGCTAAACCCTTAGGACTCCACCTCTTGAAATACTTCTTTAATCTGCAACCTCCTGTCTGTCCTTGCTGCTCTAGCCCAGGCTTTCATCGCTGTTCTCAAGAGCTATTGCAACAGTCTCCAAACCAGTTTCCCCGCCTCAAGCTTGTGCTCTCCTCCACCCCTCAATTTAGCCTCGCCTCCCAGCAGCGTGATCTTGCTAAAATGCAGCTCTGATCGCGCCACTCCCCTAATTCAAAATGCCCAGTTCATCCCAGGGCTGACAGATAATAATCCAAACTAGTGAGCATGATGTTCAAAGCACTTTATAGTCAAAGCCCAGATTGTCTTATCAGCCTTGCCTCCTGTCATGTGCCCAGAGCAGTGGTAATCAAATTTAACTTGTGGTTCTCCAATAAATCCTACCCTTTTATGAGCTCTCTGTTTTCTTCCTTTCCATGGTCCCCTCCATTCCTCACAGCAGTAGGTCGTGTGATCTTCAGGTCTTCAGATGTCCCATCTTGTTCTTTCAGCTTCCGTGTGGCTCCATATTGCTAGGTGCTTGGAGAGGCCGAGAAACCAGAAAAGAATGCTGTAGCCTTTGGCGAAACACAAAATTTAAACCTTTTAGTCTGGCTCTGTATGATTCGTTCCTGCTTTCCTCCTCCAGCTGTGCTGGCCTGCCGGGCATCACTTCAGCATTTGGTGTAGTACCCGGCTGTCTTGAGGTTTACAGAGACTCACGTGGCTCTTTTGCCCGCCACATTGCCTCGCTGGGCTATCTGCCTTCATCCTTGCTGGCCTGCTCCTCTGTGACATTCTCATAGCTGCCATATTCTTTTGGATCCTCTTCCTGGCATTTTGCATTGCTTTGTTTTTATAGCCGTTGCTGAACAGTCAGCAGGATCCTCTCCTTCCTTCTGTTCTACAACCCAGTTGAGCACAGCATGTTGGCTGTTGACTTTGAGTCTTTGGCCCTTTGCTGCTATTCACAGCTGCTGGGAGCACCTAGGGGGTACTCTTTCTTTGCTGAAGCATTTTGTTCCTTTTCTTTCTCCTCTCGTTCTAGATTTTGGGCTTTCTGAATGCTTGATAGTGCCAGAAGCATTGTCTCCAAATAACAATGGCTCTATGCCTGTAGTTTCCCTTTCTTTACATTTAAAAGTGAAAATATTATTTGAGAGAAAGAATCTTGCTTAGAAAAATTCATAGAGATCATACATTCGGATAGCCAAGTTGGTCTCTGCTGAGGACAGTGAATTTGAAAAGGAACTCTTCCTTGCACTCCGCTTGTCCAAGCTCATCTTGGGTGTCAAGCTAAGGTAACTGAGGTGTTTTGGTACATTGGGTTGAGCCTGAACAGAAGAACCATTAAGCCAAAGCCCTCCTGCCACAACCGATGCATGTGTTGTCTGCTTCGTTTCTTTACGCTTGATCATTAAAGCTAGCTGATCTTTCTGAAACTGATGGCTTACTTTAGCTCTGAGAGCAGTCAAGATACAGAATAGAATTTATTAAGGAGCCATTAATTTGTCAAGCAGAGGATAATAATTTCGGTTTAGTGCTTGTTTGCATTTTATATATTGTTTGTTGCATAATCAAGAATTTCTTTGTAAATGTTTGGTTTTCAGGCTGGTTGGAAGGAAAATCACGCAACATTCATGAGCGAACTAAAAAATCTTCAGGCTTCTGGACTGACTACTCTTGGTCAGGCTCTAAGATCCTCATTTGATTTGTTAAATCTCAATAGATTAATATCTGGAATAGACAATTATGGACAGGTAAAAAAAATTTGAGTGAGTACAGCTAATTTCCTTTGGTGACTTGGGGTAAGAATTCAAAATTGGGCATGGTTACCAAGATTTGTGCTACTGTTGATATCCTCCAAAGAGGTTCATAGGACTTTTAAATGCATAAATTTTTTAAAAATCTCCTTCTTGATTCTTGTATGTAGCTTGATTTTTAAAATAGTTAAAATTGCCTACCACCAGATCATCAGATATTTGAGAATGGGATGAATAAATTGCTGAGAAGTACTAGAAGAATACGGTTGGAAAGCATCTTTGGGTCAATCCCACTTGCCCCTCCCACTCTCATGTAAAGGCCATAGAATAAAAGGGATCAGAAAAGCATTTGCTGCTGCCACTACTGTCCTTATCTACTCTAAAACCTCTGCTCACCATCTCTAGAGTCACCAGGGTGGATGGCACTGCCATTAGCATCCCTTTGATGTCATTTTGTGATTAGTGGAAAGCTGACAGATAAAAGTATTTTGAATGTTATGGCTTGGAGAGTTCTTGAATGATAAGAATTTCTCAGTTTATAGAAATGTTGCCCCGTTCAAGATTATTTTGGTTCCTACTCATTTCAGTCCCTAATCTTTTTCTCTTTATCTATCCAGGAAGATTTTAACATTTATTGGGGAGATCATTAACAAGGCAAATGTAAAAGTTTAAATATAATTTTATTACTTCACCCAGCTCTAACTCTTTTTACATGTATTTTAGGGGAGAAATCCATTTTTTTTAGAACCGTCTATTTTAATTACCATCACAGATGGAAACAAGTTAACAAGTACTGCTAGTGTTCAAGAAGAGGTGAGATTTTAGTTTTTTAATGTTGCTTAAAAGTCTGAGAACATGCATCTATTTCTGTGGGAATCATGTATTTCCAGTTAAGAATAAAGTGTGGACAAACATGCTATCTTGGTGATCCTTGAAAGATTGCTTAATTTTATTGAGTTCCATGAAAGAAAAATGAGCCTTTTAACTTTCTCCATTTTCCTATGGACTGTTATAATGGACCTTTTCCAATTTTGCTTTATCAGCTTCATCTTCCTTTGAATTCTCCTCTTCCTGGAAGTGAATTAACCAAAGAACCTTTTCGTTGGGATCAAAGGTTATTTGCCCTAGTGTTGCGTCTGCCTGGAGTGGCTTGCACAGAACCGGAGCAACTAGGGAGTGTACCAACTGATGAATCAGCCATCACACAAATGTGTGAAGTCACAGGAGGTACTGGCAGAAGTCTCCTATTTCTAAAGGAAGAATTTATGGCAGCAGAGTAGTTTTCACTAAAATGCCATATCTAAGCTTTACTGGTTTTCCTTCAAAATCTTTTAGCTCTGCTGCTTAATCGCATTATTGATACCATACTTGCTGCCAATGTAATTATGATTATTCCAAGTTATGTTCTAGAATTTCAGATGCTTGTGTTATGAGACAATATTTCAATCAAATGTGTGCTCTTTGTTTTCCCCTCTGGCATAGGTCGCTCCTACTGTGTTAGAACACAACGAATGTTAAATCAGTGTTTAGAATCTCTAGTTCAAAAAGTTCAGAGTGGTGTAGTTATTAATTTTGAAAAAACGGGACCAGATCCACTTCCTGTTGGAGAAGGTATGGTGGATAACATTTTTTAACCGTAAAGTCTTATATAGGAGAAAGATCTGACATTCAGAATCTGTTAAATGAATTACAATAGCAGTAGTCTTCATTATCCAAATATATTTGAGTGGTTGTAAACATCTGTCCAAACAACTGTCTTTTCTTTGCCTATGTAGATTTGTAAGTTTGCTAAATTCTGACAACTTCAATTTTATGTTGAATATTCCTAAGAAAAGTCTTCCTTTCCCCAAATCCTTTTATATTCCCTGCCCCAGTCTTGGGGTGACACAGACTCATCCCCTCTCTACTTGCAAAATGTCTGGGTATTTCCTGCAGTGTGACACATACTTATCTTGTTTGGGGCTTTGAGCACTAGATATGCTGAATTATCTTTTTTTTGCCAAATTATCTTAATAAAAGTTGTGTTAGTTATTATCCTGCAGCAAGAGATTGTGAATGATTTATCCAGGAAGTTAGAGAATGTTCTGTAAGTTTCTACTCTAGTATTTTTCTGTTACTTTTTAACCATAAAACCTTTTAAAATGAGATTTTATAAAGTCTGACTCTAAATAGATAAAGGCAGAGCTGCTTTTGCATAAGGGAAATTAAAATACGGTGAATTTCCAGATGCTTTGTGAATGGATATTTATGATTACTTGTGTGTGGATTTCAGGGGTCAGGGAGGTAAACCACACTATGGCAATGTACTGCAAGATTTGCTTGGAGCTCTGTTGTTCTAGGTTATTAGTTCTCATTTCTGTCAGTTCATAAAACATAAATACACATGCATACTTACCACCATAATGCTTTTCTCCTCTAAGCCATGGATTTAATTGCCATAGGCCATATTACACATGACAGAAAGCCACACATTTCTGTCTGAAACCGTGAATCCTGTGGCTCCTGACTTTTTCTCTTCGGTTCCTGAATTCCTTTGAGAAGCTAATAGAAAAATATAGACCTCTTGCCCTAGGAAACAAAAGATATAAACTACACACACATAGTTTTGTGCATAACAATTTCAGGAGCTTCTTAGCTCCCCCCCCCCAAGAAAATGTTCCCTGAAAGACTGTGAAGTGTCAGAGAAGGCATGCTATGTGAGAAGGAACTTTTGTATGGAAATTCCTGAGATTTGGTGTCATACATGAAAACATATCTTAGATTTTCTTTCTAGCACCAGTTCTCCTTTTCCAGAGTTCTTAACCTTTCGCATTTTGATGAATGTGAAAAAGTTCTTTTCTAAGAAAAATGCACATTCCCAGTAATTGTGAACTTAACTTCATAGGACTTCTCCAAAACCATTGCGTGTCCCCGCGAAAGCCTAGTGATCCTCAGTAAATCTCTTGGTCTAGAGTAATCACTGAAAGTAAAATCGAATTAAGTAAAAATGTAAAATTATTTCATTCACTCAATTTGGGTAATAACATTCTTAAATAGCTGTAATGTTTTAGCATGTATATGCATCTAAGTCTCATACAATTCAGTTATTTTTATAATAGTTTTTCCCATAAGTGCATATTCTTATAGTAGGTTAAGGATGGTGAGGTGTGTGTTGAATTAGAGAGGACTGATTACAAGAAAAGAGTAACTGGGGCCCGGGGGGATAGCTCAGTAGAATAAGTACCTGCCTGGCAAGCACAGGGTCCTGAGTTCAATCCCTGGTACCACAAAAAAAGAAAAAAGAAAAAAAGACAGAAAAAAGAAAAGAAAAGAGTAACCAGAGAGAACATTTAGGAATCCTAGTAGCATCACTTTTTTCCTTCCATTTTTCATGAATCATTATTTTCGATCTGCCTTTAGCTGGAAAATTTGTACAAATAACTCAGCAGCTGTAAAAAGACATTCTCGCCCCAGTCTGTCTTTTGCTTAACTTTCAGATGGACTTATGGATTCATCTCGACCAAGCAATTTGTGTGCTGCTCAACCATGGCATAGTTGTCATAAACTCATTTATGTGCGGCCTAACTCTAAAACTGGTGTTCCTGTTGGGCACTGGCCAATTCCAGAATCATTTTGGCCAGATCAGAATTTGCCTTCACTAGTAAGTATCATAAAATAAAATGGTAAACATTGCTTGGGATTTTTGTTTGCTGGTTATAGTGCACCTTTTGAGACAATTCCGAGGCTTTTGAGATCTCTCGTTTGCCGTCTGTCTCTTGCTAATAGTCTAGCTTGTGCCTAAAAGCAAAGAAGGGGGACTTCGTTTACTTTCCAGCATTTGCACTCTTCCTTTAAGTTGCCTTTCTCACTTGAGCCACCATCCTTGGGTGTTAATGTATTGTTATTTTAGATGTTGTCATTATCTATGACTTGATTTTTATCTCAAAGCAGCTGATTTCATTTACTTGGTAAACACAGCGCCTAAAAAGGCACTGACACTGGCTTTCATACACAGCCTCAGGAAATTGAAATCTAGTCTATATCTTGTATGGGTTTTAGAAATATATTCAAAACATCTTCAAAGGTCTCCTTCTTAGGGAGTCATAAGACACATAGTAGAACTTGGATGATCTACAGTTCGTCTTTAATCAATGAACTTTGCTTCTACAACAATGCACTTTTCAATGATGGGTAAATAAGCAATGCTTTTCTTAAAAAATAATCTGTAATGATTCACACACAGCTTATCTTTAAAGGCTCATTTGAAGAATGTGTTCTCAATTCTCAAACATCTGACAGGCTTATAAATGATAAAGCCAAGTGAATGTGTTTTCCCATTCATGAAGAAGCAAAGACATTGAGTCATATATGCATTAGTCTTCCAGATCACTCGCTCGTGCTGTCCAAATTTCTCTCTCTGGTGCTCTCCAGTCACAAGTTAACCCTGATAGGAAAACAGCCTTTTCAGGCCCACTCAAAATATCTTTAGCTGAAGCTATTTGAGACGAGCACATAGGTCTGAACAACACCATCCACTGGGGCCCTGGACATGTGACTAGCTCGTTATCAGTCTCTATCTTGCCCTTTCCATACCTCTACTATCTTTCATCTTACTTATTCATAGCTTTAATTCTGCTGTTGCCTCATTAGAAAGCATCATGGATTTCCCCCAGCGGCACTTGAGTTATCTATAAACTAGCAGTACAAAGCAATGAACAGCGCGTGACGCATGGTGATCACAAAGTGGATCTGAAATTCAGGGTTCATCCTCTAGGTCATAGTGGGTTCTTAAATATTTTCAAAGCATTTTTTTATTTCACTGAAATTCTATGTATGAGTGTTGTATGTCATTTTTCCTATTCTTAACACTAAGTAGACAGTAAAGATAAAGAATCCGAGTTCCTTCTTCACAAGAAAGCCATCAGTGATTCTTACGGGTCTAATAACGCTTTCTCAAAGTACTAATCTGTACCTCAGTGATGGTTTAAAAATGTAGAAGGGCTGGCAGAATTGTGAGAAATGTAAACTTGCTTGACACCTGATCATATTTTCTTCTCCTTTATTTTAGCCACCAAGAACATCTCATCCTATTGTGAGGTTCTCCTGTGTAGACTGTGAGCCAATGGTTATAGATAAACTGCCCTTCGACAAATACGAACTTGAACCTTCTCCCTTAACTCAGTATATCTTGGAACGAAAGTCTCCCCATACCTGCTGGCAGGTACTTATCCACCGTACTCAGGGTCTCACTACTAGATTGGACTAGTGATCCGCCTCTTTACAGCCTCCCAAGAGCTGGGGTTAGAGGCGTGCAGCACCACGCCCTGTCTCAATTGCTGTCTCAAGAGTCTCAGTTGCTGTCTCAGAGCGCCCTGGGGGCGGGGCCAGCACAGCAGGCCTGGGGATCGACACCCCCCCCAACAATACCTGAATAGAATTACAGGGTTTTGTTTTTTTGGTGGTGGTGCTGGTAACACCCTGTAGATCCTTCCCTAAAATACATAAATAAATAAATAAATAAATAAATAAATAAATAAAATAAATTGTATTTTGGGCCAGGGAGACAGCTCTGTAGAATAAGCGCTTACCTGGCAAGCGCAGGGTCCTGAGTTCAGTCCCCTGTACCACAAAGAAACAAACAAACAAACTTTGCTTCAGCTTCACCAATCTAGAGATATGGGTAACAGTGGTAAGCCTTCTCCAAAGAAATTTACGAAAACCCACCTTTACTCTTGCACAACTCCTCAAATATGCACACAATTCCTCTCCTCAAATATGCTATAGTCTTTTGTCCAGGCCTTGTATTACCTGAGTGTACTTTAATGTGATTTTTTTTCCAGTATGGGGGATCAAACTCGGGACCTTGCACTTGGCAGGCAGGCACGTAAGCCACTGAGCTGTCTCCACAGCCCTTACTGCAATAATTTTTCTTTTTTGAGACAGGGTCTCGCTTTGTAGCTCAGCCTGGCTTGGGACTCATGTTGATCCTCCTGCCTCAGCCTCCCAAGTGTGGGAATTACAGGTTTGCACTGTGAGGCCTGGCCACTAATGTGATAAATTATTGAGAATAAAGAAGAAAAAAATGAATCAAGCACCAGGCAATGTGGCTGGCCCATAATGGAGTTTAACTTCAAACACCAGCTCTGCCACCAAATATCTGGCCTTGTGCTAGACATTTACTCTGGACTTTGCAGCCTGTAATTACTACTTGGAATTCCCCAAAATCTATAAGTGTGTGGGTAATAGGAAATTTAGAAAAGTTTATGCAAAGGAAGGAAAGAAAAGAGGGAGGAAAGTAAGGGTGGGTGAGAAACACAAACAGTGGTGCTTTTCCTTTCTTCGGAATTCTAGGTCTGATTCCTAGAATGAAATTTATGTATTTTGTCTTTTGTTTATTTTAGGGAAGGGTCTACAGGGTGTTCAGGGTCTCACTACTAGATCGGACTCGTAGTGATCTGCCTGTTTGCAACCTCATAAGAGCTGGGATTACAAGCGCATACTACCACATCCAGTCTCAGCATGCCCCGGGGGCAGGGCCAGCATGGCAGGCCCAGGGATCAAAACCCCAGCCCCTGTGCCTGCTTGTAGGTGCTTTAATCCGCTGAGCTTTTTGACCAGCCCTTAATATATATTTTTTCTTTTTCTGTTTTTTGTCTTTTATGATAGCCTTTTTTCCTCTTCTGATCCACACACTGAGAAAATAAAATTGAGCATGTTTTTTGTTCCTGTTACCTGCTTATATTGAGGTATAAATTGCAACATAAAATCCAGCAGAACTGTGTTTTAACCCAACCCATGTTTTGCAGCACTGTGAATGTCACAGGAAAGATTTATTCTTAGTAACTTCCTAAATACATCAAAAACTTAGTGAGCTGGTAGGTGATTTCACTACTACTAAGAACTCACAAGGTAAATGGAGGCTGTTAAACATCAGAGTTCAAATTTTGTCTTAAATGATCCTGCTGAAAGACTTTGGAAAAGTAAAACTGTAGGTTTCTAACAGTACGAGCTGGTGTCCTGAGTCAGACTCAGAGTCATATCCAGCATGGTAGTGCATACCTGCTCCAGGAAGGCTGAGGCTCAGAACAATTGCTGTGATTCCCAGCCAGCATGGCTACATAGTGAGTTCTAGGCCAGCCTGAACTGCATGGCAAGACCCTGTCTCAACACCACCTGCCTCCTGCAAATGGTACATGGCTTTGACAGCACATACACTGAAACCAGAATGATAAAGAGCCCCCTGTGCAAGGAAGACACACAAATTTCTGAAGAGTTCCATGTGTTTTGATAAATTTTAGTGATTTGTAGGAAAATGGATGTACCTTAAGACATATTATTTAGTGAAATAATTAGACAAACAAGCCTTAATATCATATGATTTTGCCAGGGAGATAGCTCAGTAGAATAAGCACTTGCCATGTAAGTGCAAGGTCCTGAGTTCAATTCCCGGTACCACAAAAAAAAAAAAATATGGTTTCTCTTATATGAGAAACCAAAAGGATAAATAATTTGAAGAGCAAAATAAAAGATAAAGAGGAAACAGGGAGTAGAGCTTTTGCAAAGAGAAAGAGGATTGTAAAGATGAAGGAGGGCTGGAGCAGAGGGGAAGAGGAAGGAAGAAGGACTAAGATGTGACATGTACTTGACCTAACTCCTCAAGATAAGTGTGTTCTTTATGTACCCCCAACATGTACTAATAAGAAGGTCTGAACACAGAACACCCAGTGAACATGATAACTACACAACTGTGCATACAAGTTGACAACATAATCTTAATCAAGGCACAAGAAAGAACAAGAAAATACTCATATGGAGTAAGATTAATGTTTGGATCTTAATTGAATATTTGCTGTGACGTCTGGGAGAAAATGCCTTCTACATTCTACCAAAGCCTCCCTTTGCTTCCTCCAAATGATGTGCAGTGGTGCCACCTTATATTAAATGAAAAATGGACAACTGTGTAGGAGAATGGGACAGCAAAGAGAAATGGACCAACCTTTAGTAGTAGTGTTTATAGAATCCTTTAATACGCTACATTTTTCATAATTGTGTGCTTTAGACATGGGACCATGTTCCCTTTCCTTAAAGTCTGTACTCAGATCATCATTTATTCTTTTGAGAAACATATTTGTTTTAATGGCTGGTATCACTTACTGGTATTTTAGCTTTATTTGCCATTGTGCTAACCAAGTAAATACTTGGGCATATCTTTTTGTGGTCTATGATCCCTGAGTTACACTGTATAGTTTCATTTCTTACATGTAATTTATGAATAATGGCAATCTGAAATTTTTTTATTTCTGTTACCAGGAATCAAACTCATGACCTTTTTTTTGTGTACTGGACATCAGACTTGGGACCTTGCACTTGTCGGGCAGGTGCTTGTGCCACTGAGCTATATCCCTGGCTCAGAATCTGAACATTTAAATTTGGCATGATGTATTCTGACATAAATGTAGGCTAGAAACACCATTCCTATTTTAAAGTACAATTACATTGTGCCACAAATGTTACTATGGACTATCATCATGAGCTTAGTTTTACATACATCATTATTGCCATAATTGCCATTATTTTCTGTTCTTTGCAGGTATTTGTTACTAGTAGTGGAAAATACAATGAACTTGGATATCCATTTGGTTATTTAAAAGCCAGTACAACTTTAACTTGTGTAAACCTCTTTGTGATGCCTTACAACTACCCAGTTTTACTTCCTCTTTTAGGTAAGTAAGATATATGCCACTTAATCATCTGTAAAATATAGATAACAGAGTAAGCATTTTAAATGCAACAAAGAAAACTGGATAACAGAATAGAGAAAAATGTAAAAACTTCTTTGAAAGGATAGAGTTTTCATGTTACATGTTTTGTTTCTATTGTCTGTACATCGAAGACACTTGACCGCTGGCGTGTGCTCTTACTGTTCTTCAATAGCACCCTGTCCCCATTTTGAAGTCCACTTGGCATTGCTGTACGCTAATTAGGTTCAGAAAACTCAGGGTTTTTTAGAAATAACCCTAATCCCAACCTTCTAGGAACTGGATAATTTTCTTAAGAAAATATGGCTATATTGAAGTATGCTTGGCATAAAAAGGCCTTATACAACTTCGTAAGTTTGGAAGTGAATATACACCCGTGAAACCATCACCATAATTTATGTCATAAATGTGTCCATCACCTCTGAAAGTCTTCCTGTCCTCTTTATATACTGTTACTATTTTTTTTTTCTGTATTTTTAGGGAAGGGCCTACAGGATGTTCAGGGTCTCACTACTAGATTGGACTCCTAGTGATTTTCCTGTTTTGAGCCTCCCAAGAGCTGGGATTACAGGCATGTGCCACTACGCCCAGTCTCAGTTGCTGTCTCAGTGCACCCCAGGGGCGGGGCCAGCATGGCAGGCCCAGGGATCGAACACCTGGCCCCTGCGCCTGCTTGCAGGTGTTTTAATCCACTGAGCTATTTGACCTGACCTTCTGTTACTGTTTTAAATAAGAACATTTACCCTAAGATTTATCCTCTTAGTAAATTTTCAAGGATACAATATAGTATTTGCTAAATAGAGGCACTATCTGGAAGATATCATACTAAGTGAATTAAATCAGACACAGAATGACAAACACTACACGGTATCATTATACACTTTTCATTTGGGAATAATTGTAAATTCACGTGTATTTGTAAGAAATAATACAGAGAGGTGACATCCAAAGCATAGCTAATGAAAGCAAATAATAAAATAATAAAATGAGAAAACGTCAAGCTTATAAACTTTTGTGTTTCAAAGAATACAATCAATAACATGTAAAAGCAACCTATGGATGGAAAAATATGTTTGGCAATCACATATCTCATAAGAGATTAGTATCAGACTATATAAAGAACTCTTAAAATTCACCAGAAAGATTGAATAACCCAATTATAAAAACAGGCAATGGAGTTGAATAGATACTTCTCCAAAGAGTGTATGCAAATGGCTAACAAGCATAAGAAAAGATACTCAAATCACTAATGATAGCAAATATAGACAGAAAGTACAATGAGATATTACCTTGTACCCATTAGGGGGACCACTATCAAAGAAAAAAAAGAAAGTAGCAAGTGTTTGTGAGAATGTGGAGAAGCTGGAACCTTTGTACACTGTTACTGGGAATGTAAAGTGGTGCAACTACTGTGGAAAACAGTATGGAGGTCCTCAGAATATAAAAGATGGAATTATCAGCTGGACATGGTGAAACATACCCAGCACTTGAGAAACAGAGGCAAGAGAATCACCAGGAGTTTAAGGCCAGCCTGGGCTATGTAGTGGGTTCAAGGCCAGCCTGAACTATTAATCTAATTTCTTTCATAGTTACAGGGTTACTCAAATGATTTCTTATGCTTGTTAGTCATTTGCATACATTCTTTGGAGAAGTATCTATTCAACTCCATTGCCTGTTTTTATAATTGGGTTATTTAATCTTTCTGGTGAATTTTACATAGCAAGACCCCATCTCACAAAAATAATTGAATTATCATGTGATTCAGAAATATCCTCCCTGGGTATATACCTAAAAGACCTGAATCCAGGTTCTTGAAGATATAGTTGCTCATCTACACTCCTCACAGTACTGGATATTTTCAGTGTGCAGTGGGTTGAATCTGTGAATGCAGAAACTGGATTTAAAAAGGCCCAAACTGTACTAGCTTCATAAAATGTATTGGGAGGTAGTCTCCTATTCTGTTTTCTTTAAGAGATTATACATAATTGATTTTATGTTATTATTCTTTAATCATTTGATAATCAATTATCATTTATTAATCTAATTTCTTTCATAGTTATAGGGTTACTCAAATTATTTCATTTTGTTGATGCTGGTTATTTATGCTTTTTTATTTATGCTTTTGATTAATTGGTTCATTTCATCTTAGTTGTCAAATTTATGTATGTGGAGTTGCTCCTGGTAATTCTTTATTGTCCTTTTGATGGACACGGAGTCTGTAGGGATATTGCTTATTTCATTCCTGAAATTGATAACATGGGTTTTGTGTCTTATCCCTTTGTAAACTTTGTAAGGCCACTTTTATTGATTTTTGTCAACAAAACAGCACTTTGCTTAATTAATTTTATCAGTTTTCTTTATTTCAACCTCATCGATTTCTTCATTATTTTTTTCTCCTTGATTTAGCTTCTTTGGCTTTCTTTTTTTTAGTTTTTAGGATTGTATTTTAGATTACTTCTTAGATTATTGGTTTGAGACCTTTTTTCCTAATTATAAGAATTTAGTGTCATGATTTCTGTCAGCACTGATATAGCTGCTTCCTGTAATATTTTACATATTACTTTTCATTTTCATTCACTTTGGCATATTTTTTATATCTCTTACAACTTACTCTTTGACCCATATGTTATTTAGAAGTAAATTGTTTAATTTCCAAGTATTTTGAAATTTATCTGTTAATTTTCTGTTCTTAGTTCCTATTCCTAGGTTGATTTTATTATGGTCAGATAGTATGTTTTGTATAACCATTCTTACAAAAATTTCACATTTTATGACATAGGATATTATTTATCTTGGTACATGTTCCATCACTGCTGGAGAATAAAGTGTGGCATTCTCTTTTGGGGTAAAATATTATGTCATTCCTATTGGTTAATATTCTGCTACATCTGTGTTGATTTTCTATAAATTGATGAAAAGATGAGAAGTCTCCACCCATAATTGTGGATTTGTCTATTTCTTTTCAGTTTCATCACATTTTACTTCACAATTTTTGCAAACTTATGATTTCGTGCATTAGGATTGATGCATATTCATCCTGGATTGATTTTACATAATACTTCTCTGCTAATTTTCTTTGCTTTCAACACCACTTTATCTGATATTATTATAGCTACTTCTGCTTTTCTTTCTTTCTGTTCTTCTTTAATTAATGTTTGGATGATCCATCCTTTCCCATCATTTCACTTTTAACTTCCTTATAATTGTTAAGTTTGAAATGATTTTCTTGTAGACAACACATTTCCAGTTTGGGGTTTTTGTTGTTGTTGTTTTTTAAAAATATTTTTATTGAGAAACAAATAGCAATGAGACAGTTTCACAACCAATTACTAGTACATTTCAATAATTAATACATTGAGTATTGTTGTCTTAGTGGTTATTCATTGTACAAGATGCAGACCTGATATTCTGTCTCAAACACTATTAGAACAAACCTCTCTAGTCATTGAATTAAGAGAATGGAGCTGTATATCTATCCTAACTATTTTGAATACACAGATACAAAATGGTCGTTCATTCCACCAATCTTGATCTTTCAGTTGGGATATTTAGACATCTATGTTTAATGTAATTATTGTTTGAGTAGGGCTGAGGTCTCCTTATTTATGTTTTTACTTTGGTTTTTTTTTCTCCCTGGTTTTCATTTTCCTGGCTTGTTTTGAGTTACTTGAGAAATTTAAGATTTTATCTTCATCTTGTTTGTTATATTTTTGAGTGTATTTGTCTGGAGAAATTTTTAAGGAGTTGTTATGGAGGTAATGTATATATAACTCATGCAGTCAGCTAGTGTCATCATTTTCTGAATTTGGGTGAAATAAAGAAACTTGACATTCTTTTACATTTTTCAATTTGTAATAAAATTATCTTAACTATTCTCTACACATTTAGAAACACATGAGGCACTGTAACAACTTTAACTTCAAGTGCCAAACATAATTTGGTATACTCAAGAGGAGAAGTAAAGTACTATATTTACCCATATGTTTGCTTACTATATACTTGTTTCTTTTTGATAGTTCAAGGTTTGTCATTTTATTGTGCTTTATTTTTTTATTTTTTTTGCTTAGGGAATTTCCTGAATCTGTTTAGGTTAGGGTTTTTTTTAATGTGTTTAGTACAAGGTCTCACTATTCAACTCAGACTCATAGTAGTCCTCCTGTTTTCAGCCTCCCCAGTGCTGGCATTACACTTGTGCACCACCACCCTAGGTCTCGGTCACTGGGTCAGTGGGCCAGCACAGCCTGTGGTGCAGGTGATCAAACCCTGGCCCCTGTGCTTACCTAAGCAGGCGCTTAGTCCCCTAAGCCAGCTTGCCAGCCCTTAGGGCAGGTTTGATGGTGATACATTCTTCTGGTTTCCCTTCACTTGAAAATATCTTGATTTACCCTTACTCTGGAAAGATGTTTTTGCTGAATATGAGATTCTGCCTTGACACATCCAGTGGAGGATCATCCCCCTCTTGACTCAATTCCAATTTTACCTTCTTGCTTTAAATTTCCATCTCCAGGCTCTTGTGTAACTTGCGTCTTCCAAGAGGCATATATGGCAGTACATGTCTTTCAAAGCTGGAGGTATTTCTGCTCCTCATTCACAACCTTGGGTTTTACAATAGAAGGCTGAAGTTGACAAACTCACATTTCCACCTGAAATCATTCTCTGGGTAGTGTAACATCCATAGTGATTAAGAGCAGGGTTATAGCCAGGCAGGGTGGCACACACCTATAGTCCCAGTACTTGGAAGGCTGAGGCAGGAAGAATGTTGTGAGTTTGATACCTACCTGGGCTGCAAGTGAGCTCAAGGTCAGCCTGAACTGTATAGCAAGGCCTTGTCTCAAACACACACACACACACACACACACACACACACACACACACAGGGCAATAGGACAAAGCTGCCTGACTGAATCATTGTTCTACTACTTGTAAGTTTTTTTTCCCCCCTTAGGCTGAGGATCTTTATTTCT